ACCACGCCCTGCTGATTTTTTGATTTATTGTAGAGATGAGGTCTCGCTGCCCAGGTGGGTCTCGAACCCGCAGGCTCAGGCAGTCCACTCACCTCAGCCTCCCAAAGGCGCGGGATTACAGGCTGAGCCACCGAGCCCGGCTTCATTTAATTTTTAAAAGAATTTTCTGTAAGTGGGCTTGAGTTCCAGGAAGGCTCAATTCTTTGTACAGTATTTTGGCTCAACTAAAACTAGTAGGGCGGCAATTTATTCCTCTAACTATCACACATGGCATTCTGTCCATCCGTTGAGTTCTTCTGGCATCAGCTTAGTGCTTCTGGCTCCATCTTTCCACGTGTGTCCACTGGGCTCCCCTCTCCCTGTTTTAACTTCACCCTAGTCCACGCCACAATCACCTTTTGCTTGGTCTCCAACAACCCCAGAATGGAACTTTCTACCTCCCTCCTGTCCTTCAATAACTCATGGTCCACAGAGTAGTCATGGTGAGCATTTTGAAACACAGTGACCAGAGGACTAGTTGTGTGAATACCAGGACGTGCATGCCGCAAAGTGTTCTGTGATCCCCTAAACAAACAGAGAGACAAACAGACAAAACCGTGTACTCATGTGGAGATGACTCCAGGACATAAGGTTACATAAAAATAATTACATAAAGTATTCATGGGAGCATGCTGTGTATCTGGAAGTAGAATGTATACTATGCTATCGCTAATGTAGCCACGGGATAGAAAGAAAATGTGTGCGTGCACACAACTAAGAAAGGAAATATTGGCAGTATTAAAAAAACACATATGAGGTGGAAGGATTACTTAAGCCCAGCAGGTCAAGGCTGCAGTGGCCATAAGCATGCTACTGCACTCCAGTCTGGGTGAGACTCCAACTCAAAAAAAAAAAAAAAAAAAAGGAAAAAGGAAAAGAAAAAAACCCCACATATGCCCTTGTTTACGTTTGTTTTTTTTAAAGTTGAGATGTTTGAATTCCTTGTAGATTCTGGATATTAACCTTTTCCCAGGAGCACCAATAAGGGGAGAGGGGAGTTAGAATTTAGAAATCACCTATGGGGTCGGGCTCGGTGGCTCAGCCTGTAATCCCAGCATTTTGGGAGGCTGAGGTGAATGAATTGCCTGAGCCCTAGGTTCGAGACCAGCCTGGGCAACTTGGCGAGACCTCATCTTTACAATAAACCAAAAAATTAACCAGGTGTGATAGCACGCACCTGTAGTTCTGGCTACTTGCAAGGCTGAGGCGGAAGGAACGCCGGAGCCCAGCAGGCTGTGGTGGCTGGGGGTGTGCCACTGCACTCCATTCTGGGTGACAGAGTGAGACTCTAACTAAAAAAAAAAAAAGGAAATCACCTATGGGATACAATGTTCATTATCTGGGAAATGGTTCGCCTGAAACCAAATCACCACCACCATGCACATGCATGTGCATCCCCTGAATCTAAAATAAAAATGAAAAAAGAAAACCCCAAACTAATAAAACCATTTCTCTCTCTGTCTCAGGGTAAAGATAGCAGGGGGGCAGGCCGGGCTTTTCTCTCAATATAACTTTGGGCTTTGAATCATGAAACTTCATTACTCCACTTTAAAAAAATCTAAGTTGAGAAAAAGGTCCCTACAATTGAGAACAAACACGCCAATGTACCCAACTGCACATTCTATCATTAATATGCCCATGCAGGAAAATGACTTATGCCAGTCCACGGGAATACAACAGGCAGAGAAACAAGTTAGACACCTCCACGAGTAAGTGAGCTGGTGATCTGAGAGAAAGGGATGTCCAGAGGGACAGCTGTCTTGTCTCTTCAGCAAACCAGCATTCTGGAAATGAAAAAGAGGTCTGAGCTAGATTAAAAGAGGCTTACGGGACATAACAGCCAGATACTAGGTGTGGTCCTGCATTAGACTTTGGTTGGCATCCACCGCCTGTAAAGGGCATTTGAGGACATCTGAGGAAACAGGAGTGTGACCTGGATATCGGATGAGATGAAATCTAGAAGGAAGTGCACTGAGTGTTTACTAGTGGTCATTTCTGGGTGGTGGAAACAGGTGTCTTGGCTCTCTTATTTCTACGAATTAGTGTTTAATATTCTACACAACATATATATTTCTTCTGTGATAATAATACACAGAAGTGAGAGTCTGTTTCTCCCCTGCTTAAAACCTACCAGTGGCTTCCTATGGCGCTTAAAAATCCAGACCCCTCACCCGTGCCTAGAGGGGTCATTTGATGTGACATTCTGCTTACAATCCTGTCCTCACCTCCTCCTCTTATCCCGCTCTCAAGCTTTGGGTGCAAGAGCCTTGGCACCTGCTGGTTTCTCTGTGAGACTGCTGTCCTTGGATGTTTGCATTCTCATTACTCAAATCACAAGGCAGATGTCAAAGTTCCAGAAAGGCTTCCCCTGGCCACCCCATCTAAGGTAGAGATGCCCCCGCACCCTGCGTTCCTCTCTGTCTCATTACCCTACTTCAATTTTCTGCACTGCAAGGATCACGGTGGGATTTGTCCTTTGATTCTTACATGCTTTCAGTTTTTTTCTGTGTTCTTCCATTCCAGTGTCAGCTCTATGACCATAGACACCTTGGCTGTTGTCTCACTCCTGTCTCTGGTGTTTAGGACAGTGCTTGACACATTGTAAGCCCTCTGTGAATATTAGTTGAATGGATATGTGAATGAATGAACACATGGATGATCTTCATACCATCCTTGTGGGATGGAGGCTATTAGAATTTACATTTTATAGATGAGGAAACTGAGACTGAAGGAGGTAAAGTGACTTGTTCAGGACACACACACAGGCAGTCCACGGTTCCGCTTTTGTCCACTGCCCCGTGCATGCTGTACCTCCCTGGAAGCCTTTTCTTTTTCCAGGACAGTGACCTTTTGACTAGCCACAGTTGAAAACCATTGTTTTATATCATACCAAATATGGCAAGAATAGAGCTGATTATTTAAAAATAAACTGTTCCTGCTTTTGGGCTGATGCATCGAATCAGCACAAATGTGCTTTGTTGAGGGATGGGGTCGGGTACCTCTGTGGGGCAGTAGCTGTTTCTGGGCTGTAATGGCATCCATCAGGGTGCTGGACCTGGCGTCCCTGATCCTGGCTCTCCTCACCTAGACCAGGGTCCTTTCTCTCCCAATGGATGGGACACGTGGACACCCATTGGGATATATGGTTAAGTAAAATCAATAAGGCAAGGATGGGATCCACAGACACTGGGACCACTAAAGGGGGGAAAGGGAAGGAGGAGAAATAAGGCTTGAAAAAACACCCACTGTATACCAAGCTCGTTAGAAGCCCAAACCTCCTCATCATGCACTAGACCTGTGTAACAAACCAGCACCTGTATCCCTTGAATCTAAAACAAAATCAAGCCAAAAATAGAAAAAGGCATGAGCCTGGCGTGCAGTATGTCCCTTTCTATGTCAGAATGTCTGTGTGTGAGGTGGCCACGGTAGGTTGGTGTGTGAGCTGCCATGCACTCCACACAAGTGCGTGGCTTCCCTGGGAGTGAGTGCTTCTGTCAGAAATGCTCTCAGCCACGAGTCATTGAAAACCAACTCATAGTGACTGAAATAACTCAGGATCCGTATTTCTCACATAATAGGAAGTGTCTGGAGGCACTTCCTATCTCCACTGTCCTCAGCGTGTTTTCCTGTGGTCCTCTAGTTGGTCCCTTGGTGGTTGCAAGATCAAGGCTGTAGTTTATGGCATTACATCTGACAATGAAGGAAGGAGGAAGTAGAGGCACTGATCCCATCTGCCCCCTTTATCAGTAAAGCAAAAGCTTCAGGTGTGGTGGCTCACACATGTAATCCCAGCCCTTTGGGAGGCGGAGGTGGAGGACTGCTTGAGGCCAGGAGCTTGAAGCTGCAGTGAGCTACAATCAGGCCACTGCACTCCAGCCTGTGACAGACAGAGCGAGACCCTATCTCTCTCTCTCTCTCTCTCTCTCTCTCTCACACACATACACACACACACAATGCAAAAGTTTTCCAAGGAAGTCCCCAAGACTTCCCTTGACTTCTCATTGGCAGAATGAAGTCATCTGTCCACCTTGCAAGGTCCCAGCCTCTGTAGTGGGGGATGGCAGAGGAGAAGGGGCTGGATGTGGGTGTGAGACAACCAGCCCTAGATGGGCTATCTGTGAGTGAGCCAAGGGCTTGCTGCTAGACATTCATTCATTTATTTATTTAAATCTGGACAGCAAGCCTGCTCTTACTGTCCTTCTCCTCCCATCTGTTTCACTGATGTCACGATCACGGTCAGCCTCTTAGTCTAGGAAACAGCCCACCACTTCCTCCATCCAGAGCCAGGGCTCATTGGACCCTCCCCCCACCCCACTTTTTAAAATATCTCAGTTCCGTTCTTAGATTGAGGAATTGAGTGGCTTTCCCTCCATTTTTAGAAAAAAAAACTTAGCTTGTGAGAAAAATACTCCCATCTGGACACACGTTGTAACTTCTCCCCTCTCTCTTCTTTGCCAAGGTGTCTTCTTGTTTGTCTTGGGAATGGGAATCAACATTCAAAGTGACTATATCTTGCGCCAACTCAGGAAGCCTGGAGAAATTACCTACAGGATTCCACAAGGTAACGGCTCCCCTGCTCCCGCGCTCCCCACTCTTCCCTGCAGCCTGTTCCAGGCATCACACTGAGATGCAGAAGGAAAGGGCACAGGAGAGTGCAAGTGATATGCTGTCCCCCAGCTTGCTCCACACCCTGTCCCGCCCACAGCCCATCTGTATTTCTGATCTGAACGGAAGCTCCAGAGAACTGCAAGAGCCTTCCCATAACAGGAAGTGTCCAGAGGCACTTCCTGTTTCCACCATTCTCAGCGTGCTTTCCTGGGGTCCTCTTGCTGGTCCTTGGTGGTTGCAAGACCATGGCTGTAGCTTATAGCAGTCCATCTGGCCACTGAGGAAGGAGGAAGTTTGCCCCCTTTATCAGAAAAGCAAAAGCATTGGGAGGTTTGGGGAGGGTGGGAGTCTGCTACATATGTCCTTAAAAGGGGCTGAGATTGCCATGTGCAGAGCGTCCATCCTTAGGATGCAAACATGGATGAATCATGTGAGGCCAGCAAACCTTGTCCCCTCCAATTGATCTAGATCAGGCATGTCCAACCCGCAGCCTGCAGGCCGCATGTGGCCCAGGACAGCTGGTCATGCAGCCCCCAAAATCTTTTAACATCCTGTGTTTTTTAGCATCTGTTTTCTTCATGACCTCATAAGTAGTCCCGTTTGTGAAGCTCACCATCACGCCTTATTCATGACATGGCTTTTTGGCAGCACACACATCTGTGAGCAGCTGTTTTCAATGATGAAAGATGCGAAGAGCAACATTTAAACAAACATTTCTGACGAGCACCTTGAGAACTCACTAAGAATTGCAGGCACTTCCATTGAACCAGATACTGAATTAGCTTTACAAAATGAGGTCAAATTTCCCACTAGTTTTATATTGTTCTAATTTTTCTAGACTTTGTAATAAAACAATAAAAAAGAGGTAATTATGTATATACCCTAAATGTAGTGTACAATTTATATGTGACCCAAGAAAATTCCTCTTTACTCATTGTGGCTCAGGGAAGCCATAACCTGGACACCCCTGGTCTAGACTTAACTGAGTGCGTGAGTAGGAGTAGTATTGTGTATGCCTGCCACTTGTGTACTCTTGAAGTCCTGGAGAGCCATATTTACTTAATCAAAAGCCAGGATGGGAGGCCTTACAAGACCAAGTGCATTTTTAGAGATAGAGGTGTGGAGTATTTGCAGTCCTAACTGTTCTCAGGGTGTGAGGTTGACAGATTTAAGCAGGATGGAGTGAAACAGTCTAAGTGGTCCTTCAAAATATTTAGGTGGGTGTTTGATCAGTGGTTCCCACCTTTTTCTGATGTAGATAAAACCTTTGACTGGCATGAAAAAATTTCTTAAACTATAACATGGTGTTAGCGCAGATTACTATCCACTGATTAAGAAATTAATGACAAAGATGCTGTAAATTTAGTAACACATTTAAATGAATTGGAATGTTGTCAATATCCTAACAGTATCTACTGTAAACAAAAATAACACTATAGGCTGAGATGTGCCATTTATTGTATTTTTATTTTATTTTTTTAAGAGGTGGGGTCTCGCTCTGTCGCCCAGGTAGGAGTGCAAATGCATGAGCGTAGCTCACTGCAGCTTTGACTCCTGAGGTCAAGCGACCCTCCCACCTTAGCCTCCCAGGTATTGGAACCCACAGATGTGAACCACTGCTCCTGGCCCCATTTGCTGTCTTCACAGACAATTTACAGACCCTTTACATGAGCTCAGTAGTTCCTCCAAGGTGTAGAGCATTGTACACCTTGAAACCTGCTGGTGTCTCTCGGGAACCACTGACACAATGTCATCTACAAAGAGTCAACTCTAAAGGGCTTTAATTTTTTAACTATCCACTCCATAACTAGAAAAGTACAGAAGAGCAGAGAAAGCTCCTAAAAGCCAGATTACCAGGGTTAGTTTCCAACTTTTGAGTTATGATAATGATTTTAAAACAAAATATTTTTATATAACTATAGCAAGAACAAAATTGTTTTGGTTGAAACTTCCCCAGTTTAATGTGGGTCATAAAATTTGAGTGTGGATATATTAACATCATTAGAAATATGCTGATTTCTAGATATAGTTCGGACAGAGGGAATACCTGGTTGGATAGAAAACAAAACAAGTAAAATTGATAGAAACAGACCTCATCAGTCTCCAGCAGGATACACACCTATGCCTCTACGCTTGGCTTTAAACTTGAGAATTTAGTGCTTTGCAGAAGTGGGGTGGGGGAGGGAGCAGATTCCCAATGAGAATCTAATAACTTTTCCCATCAGCTCAGATATTATTCTTATTGTTATTATCATTATTATTTTGAGTTGAGGTTTCACTCTGTTGCCCAGACTGGAGTGCAGTGGCATGATCACAGCTCACTGCTGCTTTGACTTCCTGGGGTCAGGCAATCCTCCCTCCTCAGCCTCCCAAGTAGCTAGGACTATAGGAGTGTGCCACCATGCTCAGAGACAGGGTCTCACTATGCTTCCTATGCTGATCTCAAATTCCTGGCCTCAAGTGATCCTCCCAGTTCAGCTTTCCAAAGTACTAGGATTATAGGTACAAGCCACCACACCTGGCCCAGTTCAGATTTTTACCATTTTAATGTAGTATGTGATTTCACATTGCATGACTGTGCACGTGAAATACGCTGGCCGACAGCATGGGTGTTCAGGGAAGGCGTGGGAAAGTAAGAGGTGGCTTGAAAATCTTCCTTAATAGAATGAAACAAAAGCCAGACCTCCCGAACTTCTTCCTTGTTGTCTGGTAGTTGTTGAAGATTTGGATGAAGCCCATCAATGCTCACAATTCCAGAGTGTTCTAAGGGCAATGGCCACTGTTGCTTTACCCCCCTTATACCTGAGAGAATTCCACCAGAACACGACAGGAGATTTAATGTCGCAGTGGCTCCATTCTGTGGGTTGACTTTTTTATTCTTCTGCATACAGGCGGCTTGTTTACGTACGTTTCTGGAGCCAATTTCCTTGGCGAGATTGTTGAATGGATTGGTTACGCCTTGGCCACCTGGTCTCCCCCGGCACTCGCCTTCGCATTTTTCTCACTCTGCTTCCTTGGGCTGCGAGCTTTCCACCACCACAGGTAAACGCTCCCATAAAAATGGCATCCTCCCAGTGACTTCTCTCTCCAAACAGGCTTTTAGCAGGTGGAGTCAGACTTAGAAAGCGAAGATGTTTATTTTTGTAAGAGAATATGAATACAACGATTTGGATGAAGCCCTGACTTCTAGGGCTTTTATTGAAGTTGGAAGTTAGTTGGATGAGAGCAGCTATCATAAACATTTTTTCCCCCTCAGAGCCAAAATAAGCCCATGTAGACAGCTGGGGAGGTACTGGGGGCCTCACTGAAGGAGCCTTCCTAGTGGAAAACCCCTGTCCCCCTGGGAATGAGATGACCCAAACTCTGCGCCTTCCTAGCCGGCTTGCCTGATGATGGGTAGTGCTTGGTGGTAAGCTCTGGATGAGAGTCCAGAGGCCAAGAGGCAGCCTCCCTTTTCAAGCATTCAACTCAGTTCCCTAGGGCCTCATTTCTTAATGTGTGCTCCATGGGTAGGACTTCCCAAAGCCTCATGGACAGTTCTGAACCACAACAGGGTGGAAGAACCTGGGAAAAGCACTAGCCCGGTGCCCACGTGGCTGTTATATTTGGCCACAAGATTTGGGGCTGACAGTTTAGCCCCGGAAACTCCAGAAGGACGACTTTCCCTAGAATACGTGTGATGCGGGGGCTAATGCCGGTACCCCCTCCTTTCCTGACTCCCCCATTCCATGAATCACAGCCAAGGCCATGGCTGGGAAGGTGGGACGAGCCATGGTGTGTGGGGTGCCATTTTAGGAGTTGCCCCACCTGCTGGGAGTGCCTGTTATTGCAGTTTAGAAGCTCCCACTTGACCTTGATCTCTAAAGCTCCCCACCACCACTCACCTGGGTGGGCTGAGGACAAACGCATTAGCTGGTAGTGAAAGGGCATCCCGGTCAGTTGCGATCAGGCTTTACACCCGAAGTTGAACTCCAGATCTTTCCTTAAAACGGCTTCTGTGGCAAGAGAGACAGCTGCGATTATTGGAGACAGAGAGGGTTTGGTTCCTCAGAGAGGCTGGTCTTGGCCCTGGGTCCCAGGGGACGCCTTAGGCGTCTGTCTCCATGTCTTAGTCTGGCTAGATGACTTACTGCATAGTTTGGAAAGCTGTGCCCAAGTTGAGCTCTTCTTGGGCTATCCCGTTGGGTCCCCTCCCCGCTGGAAGCTTTTCTGTCCTCTCAATAAACCCTGCTTTCTCAAAAAAAAAAAAGAGAGAGAGAATGAGTTCTTTTCTTCTGAGTAGAATTTGCAAGGACAGTGGTTCAGAAATGAATGAAGAAACCATTGATCACCTGTTGTGCCTCTTCATAGACTGGCGGGGAGGGTGGCAAGGGTTCCCAGCCCAACAGAGAGGCACCACAGTGCTCAGCCCTTCTTCAGGCAGAGAGGGAATGGGAGGAGGGGGGCATCACCCAGCACTTGGAGGGGCCCGGGAAGGGTACTCGGTCAGGGCAGGGCCAGCAATCCCACCAGAAGTTTCCAGCTGGTGCAACAACAAAATCCAAACCGAGGCCTCATCTTGTGATGTCAGACCGCCCAGAGGAGGGCCAGAGGGCGCCTTTTTTATGGGGCAGACAGGGCTTTGTGAAGGCCCTCATAAAACCAAGCCTGGCACTCACCGGAGGGGCGGCACCAGACCTCTCAGATCACAGCACTGAAAACCAGCCACCCCTTGGAACATATGCTTTGTCTCCTAAGTCAAACTAAGGTACTTTCACTGAGTGCACTGTTTTGTTTATGCCTTGAGAGCTGCCGGCTCCGAGCTCTGAGGACAGCCTGGGAACTTGAGGAAGAAGGCCTTTTACAAGATGCATTCGTCTCCTCCGACTGCTGGAAAAAATTACACAAATTGGGTGGCTTAAGATGACAAATCTCTTCTCTCAGAGTTCTGGAGACCAGAAGCTGAGGAAGTCAAGTGGAGACAGGGACGTGTCTCTGCAATGGCTCTGGGGAAGGAGTCTTCCCTGATTCCTGCTAGCTTCTGCGGTGGCTGGCCATTCTTGGCTTACCGTGGCTTCTGATGGCATCATGCCCGTCTCTGCCACAGACTCCACATGGCCTTCTCTCCTGTGTGTCTCTGTCTCTTTGTCTCTGCTCCTCTTCCTTTAAGGACACAGTCATATTGAATTAAGGGCCCACTCTGCTCCAGTATGACCTCATCTTAATTAATTATATTTGAAATGATGTAAGTTCCAAAAACAGCTTACCTTCTCAGGTACTGAGGGTTAGGACTGCAACATATCTTTTGTAAATTTAACCCATAACACAAGGTAGTTGGCATCCCCAGGCCTCGTGAAGAGACTTTTTCCTGGATCATTGCCAGTTCTCTGGGATTATCTTTGCCCATGGTCTTTGGGATCTTTGACTCTCTATATTTCTCAGCTGAATCCAAATGGGCACTTCTTTCTGGATATTCCGTTTTTAAAATTCTGGCAAAATATACAGCTCACAACATTTACCACTTTAACCATTTTTACACGTTGAATTTAGTGGCTCTATTTCCAGTCATGATGTTGTATAGCCATCACTACTACCCTCTGGCTATTACCTTTTATTTCTCAGCACCAGAAGCTTCAACATTGACCAGAGATAGACTATAGGTAGGAGAAAGAAGATGAATAGATGACTGTCTGGAGAGTCAGGCCCTGGGCAACCGTGGGTTGACTTGTAACAAGTAGCAAGGATTTCTGCCATGGTTTACGTCAGCTACTCGTAACTGTGTCACGGCACTGACCATCCTTCCTTTCTTGTCTTTTAGGTTCTACCTCAAGATGTTTGAGGATTACCCCAAATCTCGGAAAGCCCTTATTCCATTCATCTTCTAAGAAACCCAAAGAAAACAGGAACTAAGCTCTTACAATACCAGTGAAAACTGTCAAGCTGCTGAAATCATCACTGTCATGGTGTAATGTTCTTCCCAATATGTATATGTACATATGTATATAAAACCATGTATCTCTTGGTGTTTCATCAGCTGACCTGGGGATTCTGAATGTTGCCTGCTTACAGCTTCCTCCCATCTTTTGGGGATTCCTATCCTGATCTCCAGTGGAAGCTTCAAAAAGTCCCCTTCCAAAGAGAGACATTTGCTTCCTCTTAGAAAGTGCAAAAACTTTCCCTGCTTTTTCATTGGGTAATCCAAGTGCATGTAGCTTGATACCCATTCTCAATAAGGTGGGGTAGCTCTGTAGTTAAGGATGTTTTGAGTTGTGGGCAGTGCTGCTGGAACTTGTTAAAGGTAAACATTGTGAACCCATACAGAGCTGCAGAGTTTAAATTCTGAAGCCACATAGACTCAGAGCAAACCCAGTCCAAAGTGAAAGCCCAATCATGTCTTAATGAGGAAAGATGTGAGATTATTAGGCAGACTTTTAATGAAGGAGCCCTCGCTTCATGTTGCTGAAAAGGTACCGGTGCTCTGGCCTCATTTCAAATGTGTGCAGTGTCTTAGGTGATGAGTACTTCTGTCTTCCAGAAGATTTCACATCCCCCATTGGAGATAATGTAGCGTAACCTGGAAAGCTGGTATGGGTTTTCCTGAAGGCCAGGTTTTAATGATCACAAGAGAAAGACAAGACCCTGGACTGCTCCTGAGAGAATGCAGAGTGTTTTTACAATAGACATTGTGACTCTTATGTTTTTGGAAACTGGTGGGAATATACAAATAATTAGAAAGTATCAAATAAAGGACATTAATGATGAAAATTCCATGCTTCATATCTTGATAAGATGTCTACCACAGAGTGCAGTACAGCACTGAGCAACTTGCCTCTTCTGGGATTTCTTCATCATGGTCCTCAGGACATGTTCAAGAAGATGTCACCTAGGGGTAGCTTGTACATCAACTCTCAAAGGGCTTGAGGATTGGGGCTGAAATTGCAGATAAAGGGGCACATCTGGGCAGAAAACCTGTTTGTTTGCTCAGACACATAGTTTTCTTTTTTTTTTTAAACATTCAAAGTTTCCAAAATTTAAAAATTAGATTTCTACATAAAACTCTGGCTTCATTTAAAAAGTTGGAGGAGGACAGGTGCGGTGGCTAAAGCCCGTAATCCCAGTACTTTGGGAGGCCGAGGAGAGCGAATTGCCTGAGCCCAGGGGTTCGAGACCAGCCTGGGCAACTTGGCGAGCCCTTGTCCCTACAATAAATAAAAAATAAGCTGGGCATGGTAGCGTGCACCTGTAATTCCAGCTACTTGGAAGGCTGAGGCAGAAGGGTCGCCTGAGCCCAGCAGGTCGAGGCTATGGTGGTCGTGAGCATGCCACTGCACTCCAGGCTGGGCAACAGAGTGAGACTCCAACTCAAAAAAAAAAAAAGAAAAGAAAAAAGAAAAATACATAAAAAGTTGGAGGATCTGGTCGCACAGAGTCACTTCTCCCGTAGAAACTGGGACTAGAAGCTCATAAGCATTTGAGTTTGCAACGTCTTGGGGAGGGGTCACCCTAACACGGGTGCCGAGATCACAGACTCTCTAAGGAAGGGGCTGAATACTCGCATCGCGGCCGGAATACATGAAGGTATTTGTCTCCTTGGGCCTAGGTTTGTGGAAAGCATTGGCGATATTCAGCAGACCCTTTTGAGGAATGAACGTCGTTCTTGTCCGACGTGCAACAGGTATAGGACGTCACCACGTAAGACACACGGGACACTTGCAAGGTCTGAGGATGGCGTAGGTTACTGAAACATACACATTGTAATCATAGTAATACATGTTTCTGTTGTTCATTAAATACCTCTCAAATCATGCATGCTAAGTAATTTTGTTTGAATTAAAAGATCCTGGGACTTCTGGAGATTTGTACAAGGTATTATGCTGTGTGTTTCTCTGTCTGTGTCCCTTCCCCTTCCCTGTTTCTTTTCTTTCTTTCTTTCTTTTTCTTTTTCTTCCTTCCTTCCTTCCTTCCTTCCTTTTGTTTTTAAGTATTGTTTCCTTTATTCATGTTGTCAATGTGAAATTAGAGGCTGTGAGCTGGATATAAAGACATATGACTTACAGAACTTCTCCACCGCCGCTCAGAACTCCAAGTGCAACAAAAGTGCAGGGACAGGTGCTAAGTCTAGACGCCACACCTGGTGTTCAGGAATACAGGGGGAGTGGACACAGCCAAATCCGTCTTCCAGGGGAGCTTGAGCTCTTTGAAGTCAAAGACTTGCACTTCTCTCTGTGACACTGAAAACCACCTTTCTTAAGTCCTTCATCTTACAACCAAGTTAGACATCCAGGCCGGTCCTTGAAGTACACTGTGCTCTGTAAATGGCCACTGCTGTTGGCTCAGGACTTGCAAGCTCAGGACAAAACTGCTCTTTGGTCATTTCATTTTTTTGCTACGAGAGGGTGCTTTTCAAAAAGGTCTTACCCAACTCGGGCTTAATTAGGTGATTGACCTATTTTTTTTTTCATTAACCAGTATTTTTTATTATTGTTTTGTGGGGTACAGTTAAGGGTTAGGTGTACAATGACGTTTCATTCAGGCACCCTGTAGATAAGAAGTGTTTTCCCATCCCCCGACAGATATTTGCTACTGTTAATCCCATCCCCCTCCCCCCCTAGTTTCCCAGTACCATCAGTCATTTTCTTATAGTATTGCATTGGATGTTCAAGGTCCATTATATGAGTGAGAACATGTGATATTCGGATTTTTGTTTTTGTGAGAGGTCACTCAGTATTATAGACTCTAGTTCCATCCAGGTTGCAGCGAAATTCATGATTTTGTGATTGACCTATTTTTTGGAGGAAAAAAATTCAACCCTGTTATTCTTTCAAGTTAGCATGGTCGTGGACCTTATTAATTTCAATAAAGGTAGTATGAACCCCATGAAATCTTATATCTTCCCCAGAGAAAAGCAATCTAAGTGTCCTAGGGCCACTGTGTTCCCCAGTTTACCTTTGTTCAGGGCTGGAATGTGGGCGTAGTGTAAATTCAGGAACGGTCTGAATGTGTGCTCTTCTCTAGACATGTGTCTTCCCATTTCTCCAAAAACTAGAGTACAATAAAATTGTGGTCAATTGAGGTTTCCATGGAGTGTTTTTTGGTTAAGATCATATCACAGCATCTTAGCTAACAGCATGTCCCATCTCATCCTTGCTGAAGTTTTCACAGAGGGATGCTTTCCTGCTGGCCTTGTAAAATAGGTTGATTTTTGGGCAATCCCCTTGGGTCCCCTCCCACTGTGGGAGTTTTTCTGTCCTCTCAATAAATCCTGCTTTCTAAAAAAAAAAAAGAAAAATAATATGTTGAGCTTTTTGTGTGTTTTTAGAAATTACACTTCAAGAGCTGATGCAGGCTGGCACGATGGCTCAAGCCTGTCATCCCAGTGCTTTGGGAGGCCGAGGTGAGAGGATTGCCTGAGTCCAGGGGTTCAAGACCAGCCCAGGCAACTTGGTGAGGCCTTGTCTCTACAATAAATAAAAAAAAATTAGCCAGGCATGGTGACGCGTGCCTGTAGTTCCAGCTACTTCGAAGGCTGAGGTGGAAGTATTGCCTGAGTCCAGCAGGTCAAGGCTGCAGTGGCTGTGAACATGCCACTGCACTCCAGCCTGGGCGACAGAGTGAGACTCTCACTCAAAAAAATAAAATAAAATAAATTAAAATAAAATAAAAGAGCTGATGATGCAGACCTCAGACATAGCTAGTCTCACCCCTTCACATCTCAGATGGAGACACTGAGACCCACAGCATTTGCATGCCTACCAGAGGTGGTCAAAACAGCTGCCTCATCTTGTTCCTTTGAGGGTCAGGACTCTTTTTTTTTCAACTTAAGGCACAGCTGCAGAAATCCATTTGGATTTCATGGAGCTCATGCAGGAGAGAAATAGCCAGAGCTTAAGCTCTGCTCCATAGGTCAGATGGACACCTACTGTCCTGCACACATTTGTGTGTCATCTGTCTCTGTGGGACAGAGACTAAGGGCCCCGGGAGAGAGGGCCTTCCCTGGCAGGGTGGACATCTTCCTTTCCTGTGTCCTGACTGCACGAGCCTGCCACCTTCTCCATTCTCCCAGGGAAAGAAGCCCTTCTGAGAGGGAGAAGTGGCTCTTCTCAAAGTCCATTTCATAAGAGGAGACGCTGTTTAAACACAAGCCATGTGACCCTTGTCATGAGCCCCTTTGACAAAATGGCGGATTTTCTCTCCTTGATGTAGCAGAGATGACATTTGTGCTCAGTTTGGAAGAGGTTTCAAGTCACAAATTCCCCTTTCTCCCCGACACTGACCTACTTAAGGAACAACAGTGGTTCTGCTGTATTCTTAAAGGAAATTAAGAGCTCTCATGAGAAATATGCAATTAAACGGTGCTTTAGATGGTTTAAACCCTTTCAGGAACAAATAAATAAACGTATGGTTTTACAACCCTATCGTTTTACAGTAGTCCTCATGATTTCTTGTGGTTGCCTCGCGAAGAAACAGGGACCAGCTCTTAGCAAGGGAAGGGATAGATCCATGAAGAGACATCTCCTTTCCTGCCTGGTCTTCTGGGTCTCTCATGGACTGTGGGCTGAGGTCCAGGTGGGGCGAGCAGAACTTTTCGAGAAGGATCCTTTAGAGAAGGCTGCTGTTTGGTGCATAGCTTCTACACTACCACATGGTGAAAGAAAGAGGTGTGAGCTATTTGGCAATGCGGGTACTCTGACGACTTCATAGCCCCTTGAGTGGATTCATTTTCTAAGTAAGAGCTGTGCTCATTCTGTCTACAAGTCCACCCAATTGTGGTCTTAAAAGGTTCTGTGTTGTTTCTGTTGTGCCTCTGTTCTTTCCACCAACCTTCACTCGGCTCTGGATGGACGGAATAAATTATGGGGGAAGGTTAAAGGGTGCACCAAGTTGTCAGGTCCTTTATTCCTGTCCTTTTTAGGTTCAGGGTTTGGTTTTGCTCAGTGCAATCAGAATCTAGGTTCTTTATAGGAGGGGTG